GCTTCGGTCGGGCTCGGATTGGGTCTTGGCCCGGTTCAAGTGACGGCGTTAATTAAGCCAGCGGATCCCCTCATTCAGGCCGACTAATTAGCCCCGATCCGACTTGTGGAGTCACCGCGCCCGCCCCGACGAACCGCGCCATCCGCCGTGAGTTGACCACTTTTCCCCTCCTCCTACGCCCTCTGCTTTGCCGCCTCGCCTCGCCTCGGGCCCGGCAACGGCCTCGCTCTCTTTTTTTGATTGACACAACGGGCCTCGGATGAGGCGCTCTTGCGGTCGGCCCCAGAACCGCAGACTTGCACAGCCGCTCGGTTGCACTCCTTTCCGGCAGGACTGCACAAGCACGGAGACGACGGCATGTCGTCTTCTCTGCCTTACGACGCTGGCGCCTAATGCATGTTTGAGATGACCTAGAAAATTGCTGATGTGCCATGGCACTAGAGAGAACGAGATAATGTAATCATGTATTTATTAGGCTTGAGGGGGTCGGGGGCACGATAATTAACCTAATTGAAAACTGCTCATTAGATCTCGTCTACCCAATTATGCACTGCGTCAATCACAGCTCGCCTCCGGCTGCTTAGGCCCCAGTCGGAGGTGTGTACATGTGGCGTCAATCAGATGGCGTCTCATAGGCACCGTTCCATGTGTGCTCTTGCCGGGGCTATGTGCTGATGCTTGATTATATCACTTAATCAATGCGGTACAGAGCCAAGTGTCAATCGACTCGGATCTGTGTACACCCGAGGCTGAGATGATCAGATGAGCCGCACTCCAGACACTGCTGGTACCGTCGGCAGCGTCATTTCGCCTCTCCAACCAGACGCCCAACAACAACAGTCATCGCTCCATCGACGCCTTCACGTCTCGACGTCTCGACGCTCACGCAGCAACAGGTAGGAGGAGACACCTTCAGGCCGGACTGGCTCTAGGCGTCTTGCAGACCGGCTTCGTGGGGCCCACATGGTCTGGTTGGAAGCTTGCGTCGCGGAAACAACACTTCTTGTGTGTATGTGTGTGTGTGTGTGTGTGTGTGTGTGTGTGTGTGTGTGTGTGTGTGTGTGTGTCGATGACGAGCC